CTGTGCCTTGTGAGGGTGCAGATTTATCTTTGAAATGAGGTGAGTTTGGAATCAAGTTTTTTGTCCTTATTTGCACACTTGTGGCCATGTACTATGCAAACTGCCTCAGAGCCGAGGTTCATGCCTTGATCTGAAGCATGGCTGATTCACAGTCTGCAAAACCAGCAGCCTAAAACCTTAACTGACTGGCTTATGTAGTGTTTTGTCTCTGTTTTGATGTGTACAATGTTAAACTGATGGCAGAAAGGGTATCAAGTACCCCTCTGGTCTCGGGCAGTAGCATGCTTTGGAGATGAAGCAGAGATTTCTCAGAGTAAAATATGTTTCTTTTGCAGGTGAAGCTGTGTGATTTTGGCTTTGCACGCATCATTGGTGAAAAGTCTTTCAGGCGCTCTGTGGTGGGGACTCCTGCTTATCTTGCCCCTGAAGTGCTCAGGAGTAAAGGTTACAACCGCTCCCTAGACATGTGGTCAGTAGGGGTCATTGTCTATGTGAGCCTCAGTGGTACATTCCCATTTAATGAAGATGAGGATATAAATGATCAGATTCAAAATGCAGCATTTATGTACCCACCAAATCCTTGGAAGGAAATTTCTAGTGAAGGTAAAGAAATTAATTTTCTCTGTTAGAATGTTTTTACGGGAAGATAACACATTCAAATGCTTAAACCTCAAGGTTCAGTCAGAAAGGAGTGTGTGAATTATTGGTAGTTTGAGTTTAGTAGACTATGCCAAAGTAGATAAATACAACCTGGCATACATTTCTGAAAGATAAATTGTTAAATATAATGCTTTAGATAATTTTCAGGGCAGGAGAGTTAATAGATTTAGCAAGAAAAATGAATTGCATGCATGAAGAGGGGGATGAATAACCTGAAACTTCCCAAAATTTCCAGTGAAAGGTTCAGTTGTGTGTATTTGCTGAATGCTGATCTCAAACCATACTTAATCTAAACTGTAAGCACTGGAACAGTTCAAAGTTGAATCTGGAATTTAGGTTTTGTGCATTAGCAAATATGGATTTAAATGTCAGGTCTGAACAATCTAGAAGTTTACAATGTTGTCAAGCTCTCCAGTGCCAGCTTTGGTATTAGTAATGTATACATGACTAACACAGGTAGATATGGGAGGGCATGTACAAAAGTATACAATAGTGGAGGTACCTACATAATTGTGGAACACAAGATTATGCTTCAGCTTTTTAGGCACTTCTGAAAATTATTAAAATCAGTAGGAAAAAATATTAATTAATAACATAGTAAAGCTTTTAGTGTTTCCATCAAAAATAGAGAGAAGCTTATCCCATACCTTTTTTGTAGTCTTGTTTAACATAAGCAAAGCTAAATATGAAATTCAAGAGCTTGGTTAAATTTAGAAGAGTTCAGAAGTATGCACATGCACATAAAATTCATTCCCACTGCACTATGTGAATGATGAAAGAGATGATTAGTATTTAAACAATGCAATTTCTGTTTTGTTCTTCTTTGTCAGCCATTGATTTAATAAACAATTTGCTTCAAGTGAAGATGAGAAAACGTTTCAGTGTTGACAAATCCCTTAGTCACCCATGGTTACAGGTAAACCCATCTGCCTTTTTCACTATGTTTATAATGGGTGAATAATGATTTTTTTGGCTGAAATCCTTCAGAGGCTGCTTCCATCACATTCTGCTAACTAGCATTCATGGAGGCTTAAGTATTTCTGGTTTTAGCTTTATGTGCTCCAGGATTCTGGAGCATTCATTGTTTTGTCTCTCCCACCCTTTACTTTCTATCTGACACCAACATGGTTTTACTCTTTTGGCTCCTCCCTGAATGTGGGCAGTGATGAGTGCAGGGAGCCCTGTGAAATCAGCATGGAGACAGACATTGTTTGTTTGGTGCTGAAGTGGACACAGGGGCTGGTGTGTGCTGTAACTTGTAGTTGGTTTAGAACAGATTTGTTAGGAATGGAATTTATCTGCTGCTTTGAGCTGGGTTCCTTTCACAGTGGTTTCACAATACTGCATGCACGTACCCATGAGGAAAATTCAAATTATTTTGAGAACAAACAATATTGAAATGAGTATAATTTCATATATGTGTATGTATACAATTAATAATAAAGTTAAATAGCCATCTTGTTACAAAAAGTTTTCATTATTTACAACCTATACTAACCTATTTAATTTTGAACTACTCTTTATGGACAATGCTGAGGTATTTTGTGGGGTGTTTGGGTTTGTTTTTTTTTTTTTCTTAATTGTTTAGACAGATCTTGCTTGTATCTTGTGGCTTTTTATACTAAAGTAGAGACAAACTGCAGAATTTATCTGTGGCAATATTGTGCTGCTGTTTCTTAAAAATGCTTCCTTAAATAAATCTCTTTTGTTCCTTAGGATTATCAGACTTGGCTTGACCTCAGAGAATTTGAAACCCGCATTGGAGAGCGTTACATTACCCACGAGAGTGACGATGCACGCTGGAAAGAACACGCTTACGAGCACAACCTTGAGTACCCCCAGCATTTCATTATGGCTCCTAATCCAGATGACATGGAAGAAGACCCTTGATTTATTCATTATGCTAAATTGCAGCAAAGAAGGATGCTCCAGACAGAAACTGAAGATAAGTTTTGGAACAGCTATTGGTCTTTCCAAATGCTGTATGCATAGCTGGGTGTGTAAAGCCCCAGAGGATCCCGCATTGACATGGGAACAGACTGTCGTCTGACAAGCTTTTCTCCGTCTCCGCCTCCGCCTTTAACTATGAGTAGTTACTGGACAGTGGGATAAGCCCTGTTGGGTAACATTTCACTCAGCTGGGTGGCTACAAAGCCATCTCTGAGGTGTAATGTGTACAGGTTGAATGGTTGCTGTGTTTTTCAAGGATTCTTGTTTTTTTTCATAGCCTACGCAGTAGGAGTTTTGTAATAGTTTTCTAATCCCTATTTACTGGGCCATAGAGGACTGTTTTCTGTTACTTAAGATACATTTCCCATTTCCTAAACTGTGGATGTTGAAAAGAGACTCTAAAAAGAAATTGGTGTAGAATATCTTGGCTAAAGCAATACATGGTGGTTTAGTCAAATACAGCTTTGTAGATGAAGGAATAATTTGCTGCTGTTAAGACAGTTAAATATGTGTGTCTTTGCCCTAACTGAACTTTTTACAGATACAAAAAAAACCAAACCCATAACTTCTTACATTCCTCTTGAAATGCTGGGTGACAATCTAAGGAGATGACAAAGCTATGCTAGTCCTTCATTTTGTCTGTTAAAGCAATAAGCCACAATGGTGTGCCACTGTGCAAGGCTGGCATGTGTAGTTGATACACACCAAAGGCATTTTGCCTTAAAACTACAGAAGTTATGCACAGAGAGCACACAAGACTTGATGTAGCATATCCTTTCACTCTGGAAGACCAGCTTCTAGCAGAAGGATGTGGAAAAATAGGGAAAAATACATGCAGCTTTCTTCCGTTGTTTTGAGTAATTAGATTTTTAAATTTTTCTAATATTTTTCTAATTTTTTTAAGGTTCCTTGGAGTTACATCAAGAGTAGTTTGTAGCCTGCTAGCTTGTATCTTAACTCTGCTCAAAACCTAGGAGTAACAGTGGATGCATCACCTGTTGCTTCTGCCAGGGCAGCTGGATTGTAGGAGAAAGGACTTGCCTTCCCACCTTAACCTGCAGCCCCTCCCATACTTTTTACGGTGTCCAGTGCTGTTTGAGATGAATGAAGAGTCTGAAACCAACTTCTAACTCAGTTTTTTATGCAGATGCCTCAGTTGAAGAACTCCCAACCACCTGTTGGACTTGTAGCACAATACAGTAGTGTTCTCTGGAAATGATTCCCTTGGAGAACAGTTCGAGTTCATGGTATTTCAAAGAAGTCTGGGGCCATGAATGCTAAATGCAAATAGAAGAGGAGGTTTTTTGTCCTATTTTAAAAAACAGAAAGGGTGAAATCTTTATCTTTGTGGGGGATAACAGCATTGTGCTGCTGGAAGGTGCAGCATGGCTGTACATACCACTGATATGCCAAGCTGTTTAACTGGAGCTTGGTTGGAAATACTTATAAAATAATGATAACAGGTTTGAACTGCAAAGTCAGTGAGAGGATTTGGGGTATCTCCTCTCTCCTACAAAGATTTTCTTTTTTGTTTCTGTGTAGATAAGTATTTTTTTCTATTGTTGTTATTCAGGTAAAGAAACAGGTGAGCAGACTTTATAAGTTGTTAGATAAACTTAAAATGTTATGTGGTTATTTCAGGGTTGGCAGCTGCTTGTGACAGCAGTGACCTGGCAGTAAAGTCAGTGGCAATTGCAGAAGTATATGCCCACAGGTAGGTTTAGGTCTTTGACCCACCTTTTCCTTTCCTATTGCCCTTAATCTTTAACTGCCACTGCATTTTGGAGGCTGAGCTCTGGCTTCTTAACCCTGTTGGGGAGGGTTTCAGGACTGATTCTTCAAAGAGGCACAATTTTTCATCTTTGGAACCTGTGACATTGGTAGTCTGGCATTTGCCCAGGCTTGGCAAGGGAAGCAGTGCTGTTTTTCAACTTCCACTGCTCAAGTGACCAAATTTCAGTGAAGCCATTGCTATCTTCCATCCTAACTGTAATAATATAGATACAGTTTGGTTTTAAACTTCAGATTTAATACTTGAGCTGTCACTTCAGTTTACCTGTGGTTCTTTTGTTGTTTGTTTGTGTTGTTTAAGGGAGGAAATAAAGCCAGCTCAGTCACTTGAAAAAGCACAACAGGAATAGAGGAAGGAGGGGACAACAATGAAGTAGAAGGCCTGGCTGATGTCTCTCCCCATGAAGTCTGCTTTGCTTCAAAATATTATAGGAGCTATTTATTCTTCAAGTTGTATTAAAATAAAAATAATGCTGTTGGCCTTTGGAGGAGATTGCCTAATCATATATGCAGACTTATGGGGCCAGACAATAGAAGCCACAAGCAGCTAATAGCCAAGAAACCAAAAAAAATCAGACATACATAAGGAGTAAACTTTCTTCAGAGTAGTAAAAATAGCTGAGTTTTTTATTCCCTTTTTTTCTACCTTAACTGCAAACTTTGACAGCAGTAGGTTACAGTGTTTAATACCCTTATCCCTAGATGAATTAAGTTGCATTCATTCAAGCAATAGTGCTATGGTGATGCTAGGAAAAAAGCTCATGTAAAATTTATAGCCTCGAAAGGACACTGTCAAGTACTTTTATATTTTTATACATCCCCTTGTTTGTAAATATCCTCTGATAAGCTTGAAAATAAAATTTATTTCCCTATCAGTCTTGTTCTTTTTATTTACATGAATTATCTCACCTATCAGATGTTCTTAGAAGTAAATACTTGCTTGTTTGTGGATTTGACATTAGATATGCCCTGCTCTGGGAATTCTGTTAGCAGTAACTTCTTTTGCATGCATCCTGTCACCATTCTCTTTATAAAAATATTTTCAAGGCACCTTGATTTTATTCAAGTACAAAAGCTGAGTACATTTAAAGACTCCTTAGCACATCTCTTTGTTACTGACAAGTTTTGATTCACTAGTCAATACTTCACTCAGCTCTATCCTAAGACCCCTGAAACATTGTTCATTCTCTGCTCTGTGTGTGCTGCTTTCTGTATGAGCAGTATTTTATTACCACTTATACTGCTTTGGGTAGGTCAGTCAGGAGGTTTACTGTGCTGCACTAGATTTCCTCTGAAATAGCACTCCCTACCAAAATGTGGCTGGGCCCGATGCATAGATCAGTTTGAGAAAATTGCCTGAAGAAGGTGATACTTATCTGCTTTCAGTTCAAAGATACTTAGCTCTTACCTTACTGCATATATGTTAATTACAATATTGCAAAACATTTAGTATGTAAAACCATAATATGCATTCCTTTTACTGGGATTTGTTTTTCAAATTTAACAGGATGTTATTGAAAACTACTGCTATCAGACATTTTGCTATAGTATTTGAAATTACTTCAGTAAGAGTTCATTAAATCCAGCAACAGGTGGTAAGGGAGACTTCGATTCTGGCTTATCTTTCTTGTCAGGATGTACAAGTCTGTGGTGAGGCAGCAGGGCAAAGAAGTTAAAGCAGTCCCCCATGTTCTCAGGATTCATCAGCATATCGTAGCTGTGAAGTAACTGCTCACGAGTTGCTGTGTCACGTGAATTCTGCAAGAGCACCTGAAAAAGAGAATGTAGGTTACAGCTCTTCCTGCTTTCCTATAAATTCCCACATACCTGCAATCCCTTTTGCATCCTTTTCACTTACACTAATTAACAGTGCTGTAATGGTTGGTGGAACTGGTGAGATCACTGGTGGTGCTACATACATCCATGTATGAGCTAAGCTTTGCATTAAATGCTCCTAAATATAATATGATCAGTTTACTTCCAGGGATCCTGAGTAACTTATGTCTAGGAGAAGCAACTTTTTGATCTCCCATCTATGTGTTATTTTGAACAACTTCATTTTAAAATCAGATGTTTATAAAAGCTCTCTTGCTGCTTAAAAGTATTGTCTGTGGATTAGGAGAGTTTATGTACCTGTAAGCACTATCGTACCTGCAACCGGAGGTCAATGCCCATGTTTTTTAAAAACTCCCGCTGTTTTATGGGGCCTAATGTAGTTGTTCTTTCCTGTGTCATCTTTCGAAGATAGCTGAAATCAACATCTGCTGTCAGGTCTGCTGTGCCTGGAGCGCTCAGCACATCGTGAAGTTTGTGATTCCGGAAACCCTGAAAAATTAAATTGGAAGATTATACTCAGCTGTAGTCCAGCTGTCATAGTTGGGGCCAGCAAAAACTAAGTTGTGCATTTGAGGGGTGAGAATAGCAAATTATACATGGAAAATTTGAGATAAATCTAGCGAGGGCTCAGATTATCCTCTTCCATCTGACAGAAACCCTTGTGGGTACAGATTAAATAAGAATTACTCAATTTTATGACTGCAGCATAATGCAGTTTTTGCTATTACATTGACTTAAGAACTTTCTTTTACAAGAACCTAATGATCAAAGGGACAAATAAAAGATAAGAGAGTATTTTGGCTTCTTATTTGAGGGTAAATGACTTACCCGGAAGGTGTCAGTTTTGGTTCCATCATGGCCATAATCCGCAACCAGTGCAGCCCCACCATCCTTCTCTATACGACAGGCAAGCCTCTGGATGATGACACCAGCCTCGGGACACACTTCCACGTGATCTCTCATTTCTTCCGGCTAGTGCAGAGTTCAGAGACCAAAACACCTGTATTAGCAGACAAGTACAGGGCAAGAGTTCTTCACACTTGATGTCTTGGGACTGAGGTACAGGGGGGGTATTCTAGACTACCTACAGCTTGAGCTAGTTTTTGCTATCAGTCATTTTCAATGAGTGCTGGATTTCAGTCACCTCTTCTGTAGTAACCTGTAGTCCAAGAAAAACTTTTCTACCAATTAAGAATACCTGCATCAGGTGAAACCTCCTTACTGTGGTACTGAAAGAATGAAAATAGCTCTTCAGCTGTGCACACGCTTCAAAGAGACCTTCCCGTGTGAAATTTTGTAGTTGGTTTTGATCTCCAGTACTTCATTTTATAACTTTGAGTAGTCAGTGAACTTCAGGAAAAAAAAACCCACTCATGGACCCTTTCCATTAAAGGTCAGCGTAGCACAGAAGCGCCGAGCTGCATGCAGCAGTACCATGCAGCAGGCTGAGAGCCTGGCTGGGGCAGGGCCACTGCCGAGATGGGGATGTGACACATGCAGTGCAGAAATCTCCCTTGTCACTTGCTGCCTCAGTTTGCTCTCTGAAGCATTTTGTGTGTTCAAGCTCTGATTTTGCAGAGTTGGGTAGATGTGTTATTTCTGTGCTATATTTTCACAGCATACAAAATAAAATGCTTGTGGAAATTTTGCAGAATGGAAATAAGCTCTATTTACTCGTTTGTAGACTGAGAGCCCTCCTCTTGCTATCAAAGTAATTGAAAAGCAGTAAATGTACTTGAAAGAGTCAGTAAAAGTGTAAGTATGAGCTCTGGTAGGCATAAACTCACTTGGATGAAGTTTTCTGTCGCAGGGGTGCTGGATGGTGACAGGACAAACCGCAGCTGGTCAGGAACTTCTGGATCTATATCAACCAACACTTCCCGCCAGCCTTTCTCAGTTCTCTGTTTAACAAGCCCAAAGTACTCATTTTACATTCTACTGGGTACCACAGCATCTTGTTTATTTGATTGAACTAATATGTCAAGCATTTTCAGAAATGTTTTAAGAACACAATATTTTTAATGCTATTAAAACCAATTAGTCATTCTATTTAATTCCAGTAACTGTTTTAGAAAAAGCTTGTGGCAAGAGTCTCATCTGCAGAGCCAACAAATACAGGTTTAATGACACTTAAAAGGAATGAATGATGCTCTGAAGAAAAATGTTGCCTCTTCTATTGACAGTGCAACGTTTAACTTATCAAAATAAAATAACTCATTCTACCAGAGATTTTTCATAAACTAATTTCTTCTGAATCATAACCAGCCTCTATTAGCTACTCTCATTGCCATTTAAATGAAAGTCCTTCAGCCTTTTGTTAATAGTGCTAGAGAAAATCATGTGGAAATTAATAACTTCGCTAATGTAACATCAGAAATAAAAAACCCAACACTTTCAGCATTATTTCAGCAGAAAGAAATCCTTAGCTTTCTACAAGTTTTTCCATTCATCAGCATTCCATTTTATCAGCAGAGACAGTACATATGTCTAATCTGGCACCCTAATTCTGTTCTTCCTCAAAGGGAAAAAGCGTTTGAGCAGATGGTCACAATTACAATAATAATCTTGCTATACCTGAAATTTATGTATTGGCAAGGCATCAAAGAACTCATGTGCTAGGTAAAAGCTGTAACCTGGGGGAAGGTAAAAAAAGAATGCATTAAATTATTTATGCTTCTGTAGCAGCTTCCAGTTGAAAATTAATTTTTTAAATTATTTTTAATGAATTAAGCTAATTAATGTGGTTGTGAAATAATTACTTCCAGCTTGGATACATCAAAGACAGTATTTCTACAGCTAGTTCTAGTTTCCAGTCCATGAATTTTAGATCACTATATCATGAAAGGAAATTCAGGCAAAGCCAGTGAATAGTTTTCTATGAAAAGAAAACGTCAGAAAATGAAATTGGATAGCTATCCCCAAATGAAGGTAGGCAGACTATGTTGCAGTTATGAAAATGAGTCAATATCCTGCCTCAGGCTTGTACAAGTAAGAGCAAATATGTATTTTAACTACTTTTCTGTCCAGTGTGAAGGATAGAAGAGATGCCCTCCGTTATCAAAAGCTGCATATGAAGGAAGGACACCATCCCTTTAATGAGGTGTTCAAGCTCCTTACCTGATGGCACATCTTGAATGTCTCTGTACCAAAAAATGGGAATTCCAGTCTTGCTAATGCCTTTCATGTAAGCAGACTCGTCCTTGGGGCTTGGTTGCATCTTCCCTCCTGTCAGCATCCGTGCTTGGATCTCACCGAGTTTGGGACTCACTTCTACCAGGTGAACAGAGACATCACATTTACTAAGTACAGAGGAGAGCTGGTTGAAGACCTATAAAGGCAGATCAGTTCTATTAGCCACAGTCTTGTGCAGTGTACATTAAAGGCTTAAGTATTAACCTTTCATCTCATTACTGACAGTCAAGATAAAAAATTTATTTAGCTTTCTGTTTAATAAAACAGCCTCAGTGAAACAGACTGCATTCAGAAGGAAGTGAAGTGGGAATTTCTTCATATATTTTAATAAAAGCTGCTATGCTTCTAGTAAAGTTGGCAAAAGACATATTACAGGCTGTAAGGACAACATGAAATGCTAATTGGAACAGTAATAGCAGCTCCTCTAAGATCTGCAGAGAGTTTAACATTAGGAGAAAAATGGTTCAGTTTTCACTGACACCATAAACAAGTGTTCAATATCCCACTGTTCTTATTATTCATTAACATATGTAAATAAAATAAAAGTTCTTCTGAGGTGCTAAATCCCATTAGTGATCTGTTTATGAATCAGCAGTATTTTAATTGACAGCTATGCAAGCACAACTGAACACAAAGGGTTAATTCAAAAGAAATAAGCCCCTAAAATCCCCAAAAGAACTAATACAATTTCACTCCTATGTTACTGTTCTCCCTCCCTTCTTCCTATTCCTTGCACTGAGGCTTCCATCCCAGTTACACGCAGCTCCTAAATGCTTTCCAGTTTGGATAATGCTTTCCTACTCAGAGGTAATTTGTAATGGAATATTCCTGCCCTCCCCTTCTATCAAGTGGTGTTTGGAAGATCACACACATGTCCATGCAGTGGGTGCACAATGGCCTGTGTTCTGCTTCTGAATGAGAGACCTGCTGTCTCAATTTGAGTCTGAGCTGCAAACCTGACTGAAGTGATTTGGTTACTAGGGAAGGTTAAACCCTGACAGCAAAACATCATTCCTTCAGATTTCACAGTAGCCAGGGAATAAAGCCAGAAACAAAAATATGAACAGTTTTCACCTACCCGTAATATATCCTCAGTAAGGGTGCCCCTCCCTGGGCCCAGTTCCACCAGCTGGAAGGTGTTAGGTTTGCCCATGGCCATCCATTCACTAATATACCATATTCCTATTAACTGTCAGTGAGAAACAACACAAAGGGTTTACAGTAGTAACTTCAGAACTTGTGGAAAGTGATACCTGCCTTTTGTTTGATAATAACTAAGATAATATGGCCACATTCTCTCTCCACATTTCAAAGTTAAGAATAATAATGATACATAACTTCATGCTCTTCTCTTTAAATTAAATTGATGATTGATTGCTGTCAGCCCAACAGAAGCAACTCTCCATCAGTAAATGCGGGGACTCTGTTCTGGCTGAACTTTTACTTAAGGCTCAAATGCAGGTCACTGCCCAGGTGCCTCTGAACAACTGTTCTTCACAACAGTGCATTTACCAAAGTGTTAACAAGAACAGCAGTCAGTGCATCTTCACTACTGAAAACGAAACACAAACCAGAGTCAGCCAGACCGAACTCTGGAAATTATTTTTGAGGAGAATTTTCACAGTGGGAAACCACCATAACTCTCTTTATTTATAAACAAGTTCCATATGAAAGTAAGCGTTAATAATCACAGACCGTATTTCAGACTATACACATGAAAGGACTTTCAGTAAAACACTCCTTCCTCCCTCAGAACCAATTTTGATTTTGGGAAATAACTTGAATCTTATTATTGCTACCCAAGTATTTTGACATTGGTAAGGTACCAGAACACTGACCTGGAGATCACAGAATGTGTAAAGTTGGAAGTGACCACATCTAGTCCAACCTCCCTGCTCAAGCAGGGTCCTCCTACAGCACATGGCACTGGATTGTGTCCATACAGTTCTTTGCCTCTTGTCCTATTGCTTGGCACAACTGAGAAGAGCCTGGCTCCATCCTCTTGATACCCTCCCTTCAGATAGTTATAGACATTGATAAGTCCCCTCTGTTGTCTCTTTTTAAGGAAGAGGCTGAACAGGCCCAGGTCTCTCAGCCTTTCCTTGTAAAAGAGATGCTCCAGTCCCTTAATTATCTTTGTTGCCCTCCACTGGACTGACACCAGGAGCTCCATGCCTCTCCTGTACTGAGGAGCCCAGATCTGGACACAGCACTCCAGATGCAGCCTCATCAGAACAGAGAAGGGGGCAGGATCACCTGCCTTGACCTGCTGGCAATGCGCTTCCTGATGCATCCTAGGATAGCATTGGCCTTTTAGGCCACCGGGGCACACTGCTGGCCCAGGGACAGCTTGTTGTCCACCAGGACCCCAGCCAGTCCCGCGGGGACAAGGTAAACAAACAAACAAACAAGCAAAATCACTCAGGACACACGGAACTGCGTTACCTCTCCGAACACCTGACTTATTTCAGGCGAGGTGATGAAGTCCCCGCTCTCGCCGATGCCGCCGCGGCGGGTGTAGTAACCCTGGGGGGGACAGAGAGGGGAGAGGGGCCGGGGCCGCGGTGAGCGGCCGGGCCGGGGCACAGCCCCCCTGGGCCGCCTCGGCCCGTTCCCGGCGTACCTGTGCGGGGTTGGTGAGCGCCTCCCGCATGTACTCGGCCACCGTCACGGGCCCGCTGGCCCGCAGCTTTCGACACAGGTGCCGCAGCAGCGCCCCGTCCCCGCCGGCCGCCGCCTCGCCCCCCGCGCCCGAGCACAGCCGCGCCGCCGCCGGAGCTGCGGGGAGAGCAGGGAGAGAGGGGGCTCAGCGGGGCGGCCCCGGGAGGAGCGGCGGGAGAGGCGCGGAGGGGCGAGAGGCGGCGCTCACCGTGGGGCGGGGACGGGGCGCGGGGGAGCCGCCGGCGGCCGGCCAGGAGCGCCCGGCGCGCCAGCAGCAGCACCATGGCGGCGGCTCCCGGTTCTCCCGCTCCTCCCGCTCCTCCCTCTCGTTCCTCCTCCTCCCGGGTCCCGGCCCCCCAGCAAGGACGGGGCAGCGGCCGGACGCGCGTCACGCGTGTGCGCGGGAGACCTTCCGGCGGGCGGCGATGGCGGCAGCACTGTGGGACTTCGGCGTGGGGGACCCGCGGAAAGGCGGCGGCGACAGCGGCGAGGAGGACGGCGAGGACGATGGTGATGAGGAAGGAGGAGATGGAGATGCGGGAGGGTTCACGCTGGACGAGGTGCTGCGCCTCGGCGGCACGAAGGTAAGGGACGGGGAGGAGGGAACGGGAGCACGTGGTGGACTCCCCATCCCGGGACGGGCCCTGGGGCGGGAGGGGGGGGCGAGGTGTGTGGGGTCCCACTCAGATATTGGGAATCTGTTTTGTGCTCGGGGGGTGGTGAGGCACTGGGACAGGTTTGCCTGGAGATACCCCATCCCTTGCAGTGTTCAAAAGCCACTTTGAGCAACCTAGTCTAGTGGAAGGTGTCCCTGCCCATGGCAGGGAGATTGGAACGAAATGGTCTTTAAGGTCCCTTCCAGCCTAAATCGTTCTGGGGGAAGCCCTTGGGAGTCTTGAGAGAGCTCGCACTGCATCTGCCCGTAACAGCTGTGCATTGCTGCCCACAGCAAGATTACTTGATGCTGTGTGCCGTGGACGAGGAGGGCGAGATGGTGGATGGCGGCAAGAAGGACACGATGGATGACCTGAAGGAAGGGGAGCTGGAGGCGTTCATCAGCTCCCTGGGACTCAGCAAGTATGCGAAAAGTTGCTCGGTGGAGGAGGGGGATGAGGATGAAGGCGGCAGCAAGGAGAAAGAGAAGCCTCCAAAGAAAGAAAAAAGCAAGAAGGAAACTAATCCTACTTCACTAGAGGGGAGAAAAGAAAAAAAACTCAAGGAAAAGGCAAGCAGTGTGAAAGACAGCAAGAAGAAGCAGTCTGGTGGTGATCAGGGCCAGCAACCTTCAGCAAAGAAAGAAAGACTGGAAGAAGATTTTGCATTTCATGCTAGGCAAGCAATACTGATCAAACCAGGGGGCAAGTGGTATGACCTAGAATACACCAATGAATTCTCTCCAGAGCCACAGAATCAGACACTTCTGTCCAAGTATAAGGCCCTGGCCCAAAAGCTGTATGAACATGAGACAGACCTGTTTAAGAACAAGACAGACTATCAGAAGGGGGCCTCTTCAGCATGGATGAAAACTGTTGTGTCCTCGGGTACCTTGGCTGACAGGATGGCAGCGATGACCCTTCTCATCCAGGACAGTGCTGTCCACAGTCTTCAGTTTGTTGAGAACTTGGTAAACCTCATAAAGAAAAAGGGCAGCAGGCAGCAGAGCCTCATGGCTTTGGATACTTTCAAGGAACTTCTCATTTCAGATATCTTACCAGACAATCGAAAATTGTGGTCTTTCTCGCAGCGACCGTTTAACAACATAGTGAAGATGTCGAGTGGCAACAAGGATTCCAGAGACAGACGGTTGATACTGTGGTACTTTGAGCACCACCTGAAACTGCAGATAGCAGAGTTTGTGCAGGCGTTAGAAACACTGAGCCATGATTGTCTGACAGCTCCGAAATCCCGAGCTCTAGCAGTTGCTCATGAGCTTCTCTGTAACAAGCCTGAGCAGGAGAAAGCTCTATTGGTCCTGCTGGTGAATAAACTGGGAGACCCTCAGAACAAGATTGCCACCAAAGCCTCTTATCTTTTAGAGACGTTGCTTCACAAGCATCCAAATATGAAGGGAGTAGTGTGCAGTGAGGTGGAGAGGCTTTTGTACCGGTCAAACATCAATGTGAAAACTCAATATTATGCCATTTGCTTTCTAAATCAGATAGTCCTCAGTCATGAAGAAAGTGCATTGGCTAACAAGCTGATAACTTTGTACTTCTGTTTTTTTCGGAACTGTATTAAGAAAAAAGATGTTGAATCCAAAATGCTCAGTGCTCTCCTTTGTGGGGTAAACAGAGCTTACCCTTATGCTGAGACAGGTGATGAGAAAGTGAAAGAGCAAATGAACACCTTGTTTAAAGTTCTGCATCTTGCAAACTTCAGTACCAGTGTCCAGGCCCTGATGTTGCTGTTTCAAGTGATGGACTCTCAGCAGACTGTGTCAGATAGGTACTATGCAGCACTATACAAGTAAGTGGCAGGTTTGCATTTTTTATATAAATTTCATTTTATGAGATAGTCACCATTAATTTAAAGTTGTAGAAACACTTATTTTGCTTTTAAGGTCTTGCTAATTTTGTGTTTAATTGGCTCAGAGTTTCTGATGTTTTGTATGAGCTGGAAGAAAATGTATGTGATTTCTTTGACTTAACATGGGGATAAAACAAAAGGTAGTGATAGGTCCTGAGAACACAACATATGCATTTCATCCTTTGCCACTCTTTTCTGGTGGCAGTTTTTAATTCCAGATGTTATTTGAAACTAATTGATAACTATTTCTTCTGAAATCACTTTTACAAGTATTAGCCTGTAAAGTAAATAAGCCTGTAAATAGCCTAAAATCTTGTTTCCTTTCTTTTCTTGTTGTGAGGAGGGGGAATATTATGTTAACGAATTCTTTAGATGATTTAATTTGAGTAGTTGGAAAGCCTCATATTACAAAAGAATTTTTTTTGTCCCATCTGATTGTTCAGACTCTTTATAGGATCTTTACAGGTTTCTGTTTAGTTGATCAAAGGGAAGTTGCTGTTCTTTTAAAAAGGGATCTTAAGTTCCCCCAGACTGTGGAATGTCTTTAAGCGCCTTACTGTGCCTGACAGCCTGGAAAAAATTGGGGTAGAAAATGAACCTGCCAGTACATACCTCTGGTCTGGTTGTGAAGCATGCTGATTCCTAACCATTTTCTTTCTATTTTTTTTTTAATATCTCAAATTTTGAAACTGTCTCCAGTTGAATTCAGTTTATTTATTTATATTTTCTTTTTTTTTTAATCTTCAGTGTCTCATATATAGGCAGATATATTACACAGCTGTTGACAGTTCAGGTTGATCATAATGATTTTGAGTACTGGGGAGCAAGCTGTCACTGGTCCTTTAGATGGCACTCTGAAAAATGTAGATAATTGTTGTTAATAGCAATTGTTCTCCTGCCTGCATTATGACAATCGGCAATATTTTCTCCTGTGTGTTCTACAGGAAGCTTCTAGATCCTGCCTTAGCAACCTGCTCAAAGCCATCCATGTTTCTTAACCTTGTCTATAAATCTCTGAAGGCAGATGTAGTGTTACGGCGCGTGAAGGCCTTTGTGAAGAGGTTACTTCAAGTCACTTGTGGCCAAATGCCACCCTTCATTTGTGGAACCCTGTACCTTCTGTCTGAGCTTCTGAGAGTAAAACCAGAGTTAAGAGTCCAGTTACAGGATCATGTGGTATAAAATGATTTCTTTATCTCATTTCTTTTTCAGTAAGAGCTATTTTTATAAGCACCTTTCCCTGACCTGTTTATTAGTAACCTGAGGGTTTGCTCAGATGTTGTTTCTTGAAGCGGGGAGGAACCATCACATTTGTGTGTTCAATTTTAAGTCCTGTATCAAGGACAAAAATCTGTATTTCTTAAACATTGGCCATCATTTACGTAGATTTTTGTAAGTATCTTAAGGGTTATATGTGCATTTCTCTAAAAAATCAGAATAAATGTGGAAAGGATAAAGCTGTTTGCTAACATTTTTTGGTTTTTAGGAGTCAGATGATGAAGAGTGCTTTAAGGATCAAGAAGAGGCTGAAGACGATGAAGAAAAATTTGTGGATACAGACAAAGAAGTAAAAGATAAAGAGAGAAACACAATGAAAAATTCTGCAAAAACAAATAATTCAAATTCAACAGCTTCGTGGGTGCATCATTTGAATATGGGAGGTAAATTAGCAAGAAAATGTAATTCATTTAATGTGTAACATTCCGTAACAGTGACATGTTGATCAAGAGTTGTTTTAAGGTTAAGTGACTAAAACATTATTTTAGTTTTTAAATTGAAGTTTGATTGAAAGCAATCAGTCAGAATAATTTATTTCATAGCTCAGCAGTGATGAAGAGACTCTGACTAGTGTATTTCACTTTATGCAGTTTGTAATAAGCAAATATTTGTTTGTAATAAACACATAAATTATGCCTTAGCAATAAACAGGCTTGGAATTCTTTTGCTTCTGTTTTCAAACACCTTCAGAGCCATATATCCAGAGTTAGCATGTGTAGCCTCTCATTTGTCCAGCTTTGAACCTGTGCCCGGTTTCACTCCTTCCTGAAGACCTTTTGGAACAGGGCAGGGCGTTTTCAAGACCTTCCTTAGAAGCACGTAGGAACTTAACCTGTACATACCCCTGATCATACACTGGTGAAGGACAGCTGAATGTAGCCTTTACCTGCTGCCAAATGAATCTATGGCCTGTCCAGCTGAGAATGATGGGCAGCATTGAAATGAAAATAATACTCTTGTAAAGTTGCCTAAGAAAATTTAAGATGTTTTCCTCTCCTCCATCCCTAAGGCAGGAAGGCTGGAACTTCATATGATCCTATGCACCGAAGTCCTTTATACTGTGGTGCTGAAAGTACAAGCCTTTGGGAACTGAAGAAGGTACAGCATTCTTATCTGGGTGTTACTGTGTTTCTTAGTGTGGCCCTTGTATTAAGAGAGGAAAATGAACTTGGTTATTCTTGGAGTAGCTCCCTGGATAACATAACAGAAAGTTTAAAGATGATACGTTGTTCAACTTTAAGCTTGTATATGTTCCTTACAATGCTGATATTCTGGAGTAGGGAATAAGAATTTTTACGTGGAGATTTGGACAATAATAGTATTTCTTGAGTTTTGGATCTTAATTTTGATCACTAAAGCTTTTTAGTGTTGCATTAAATAAAATTGTAAGTGAAAATGTATTTATTTAACGCAAAGAAAAGATTAGAACTAGATGTTCTTCAGTTGTTCAAGGGCAGAGCACATCAGCCGTGCTCTACTA